AAGTTTGCCCCTAAAATTGGGAAGAAACGAAGACACTTGTTCTGACCATCTCTAATCAACATTGTGCTGGAGGCCTGCAAAGGTCAATGAGGGCGAAAAAGAAAATGAAAGGCATACAGGTAGAAAAGGAAATTAAAAGTATGAAGATGGAAGAAAAAACCTTTTGTATTCACAGATGACATAATTATGCATGTAGAGAACCTAAAATTATCTATAGTCAAATTACAAGAAATAGGTGAATTCACTGACACTGCTAAATACCAGTGCAACATACAAAATGTATTTCTATATATTAGTAACAAACAACTAGAAATGTAATTTTAGAAAGTATCACTTACACTAGTATAAATAAATACCTAGGAATACATTTAACAAAAAATGACCATGACCTTTATACAGAAAATTATAAAACATTATTGAGTTTAAGAAGGCCTAAGTAAATGAAGAGTTACTATATTTCTAGGTTGTAAGATGCCAATTTTCCCCCAGATTGATCTGTAGATTTAGTGTAATCCCAATAAAAGTCTGGTAAATTTTTTTGTGGAATTGACAAAATAATTCTAAAATTTATACAAGGACTAAAAGTTGCCAATAATTATGAAGAATATGGCTAAAGGATATACACAAGTTAAAACTTATTAAAACAGTGAAATGTTGGTACAACAGATGAAATATATGCCAATGAAACAAAAGAAATTACAGAAACAGACCCACACATACATAATCACTTGATTTATGACACAGATGCTACTACATTGTAGTGTAGTGCACTGTAGGATGGTCTTTTGAATAAATAGTACTCAGTTAATCTGCTGAACCCTACCTCACATCATTCAGAGAAATGTATTTGAGAAGGTAAACACAAGAAGTACATTATGTATGATTCAATTTATATAAAGATCAAAAACAGGCAGAAGTAATTGTGATAGAAGACAGGACCTTAAAGATCAGCCAGTCTGACTTCTGGTTTCAAAGTGGCAGTGTTGAAGCAAGCTGTTTTTATTCCCTCTTGTAGAAAACCAAAAACAAATATACAGCACCAAGATTACCATGAGAAATATTGTAGAACTCAAGGATCAAGAGAGATGGTTCTCAGGGCCACAGAGGAGTGGAAAAACACTGAGAAGACTGTAAGAAAATAAGACTCCCCTTTCTGTTGGGCACCAAGTCCACAGAAAATTTTCCCCCAACTCACTCAGTCACTTGTTTCTTTTTCTTTTTTTTGAGAGGGAGTCGTGCTCTGTCGCCAAGCTGGAGTGCCATGGCAGGATCTCAGCTCACTGCAACCTCTGCCTCCCAGGTTCAAGCAATTCTCCTGCCTCAGCCTCCCGAGTAGCTGGAACTACAGGCGTGTGCCATCACATCCAGCTAATTTTTGTATTTTTAGTAGAGATGGGGTTTCATCATGTTGGCCAGGATGGTCTTGATCTCTGACCTTGTGATCTGCCTGCCTCGGCCCCCCAAAGTGCTGGGATTACAGGTGTGAGCTACCGCGCCTGGCCTCACTTGTTTCCATATTGGAGAAAGTGAGATTGATGTGGACAACCTGTTTTCCCATGATGTTGGGTTTCCTGGCAGAAGACCTGTCCCTCTCTTAACCTGCAGGAAGTATCTTGAGTGCCTGAAGAGAGAAATATCCCTGGGGACAGGCAGAGACAAAGTGGGAAGATGGGATTACCATCCCCAGCCCTGGAAGCTCTGCTCTGTAACTCTGCCAAAGGAGATGCCAAATCAGAGTGGCTGCTCAGCAGCACCATGCTGTAGAAGATCCATCCCACAGATCCCCTGAGCAAAAACCCCTAGCCGGCCTTCTTACAATGCCAGGACATTCCCTTTGGAACCTCTCCTATTCAGGAAGAGCTGTGCTTGGAGTGTTTACTAGAGCCAAGGTGAAACCTGGGCTTAAGGCACCACCTAGAGCTGAAAAGGAGGCAGTGACCTGGCGGTAAAGAACCTCTAACCAAATATATGCAATAAAAACCAAAACAAGTTCAGCAGAGAAGGCTGGAATAGAAAACTAATCTTTCAATGCAAAGACATAGATATATGTCCACAAGAAACAGCAGCAAACAGGGAACCATGATCTCCCCAAACAAAGCAAGCAATCAGTGACCCTAGCAAGAAGACATTAGGACAGATACCTAATGCAGGCAGAGCTTAAAACCTAGATGACAGGTGCAGCAAACCACCCTGGCACATGTATACCTATGTTACAAACCTACACGTTCAGCACATGCATCCCAGAACTTAAAGTAAAAGAAAAAAAGAAAAGCAAGGCAAGAAGGCAATATATGAACTTTTTCACCAATAACTCAAAATAGTGGTTTAAGGAAACTCAGTGATTTCTAAGCTAACACAGAAAAGCAATTCAAAAATTTATCAGAAATACTTAATAAAGAGATTGAAATAACACAAAAAAATTGAATAGAAATTTTTCAGACTGAGAAATTTATTTGCTAAGCTGAACAATTTGTTATAAGCGCTCAACAGTAGAATGGATTAAGTGGAGGAAAGAATCAGAGATTGAAGACAGGCTATTTGAAAATACACAGAGGAGACAAAAGAAAAATGAATGAAAAGTAATAAAGATCACCTACAAAATAAGGAAAATTACCTCAAAAGATCACATCTAAGAATTTTGATGTTCAAGAGGGAGTTGAGCAAGGGCAAAGGGTAGAAAGCTTATTCAAAGAAATAACAAAACTTGTCAAAACTAGAAAAAGATATACATATCCAAGTACAGGAAGGGCAGAGAACATCAAACATATTTGACCCAAATAAGAGTACCCCAAGGCATATAATAATCACACTCTCAAAGGTCAAGGACAAAGAGAGAATCATAAAAGAAGCAAGACAAAGGAAGCAACTAACATATCAAGGAGCTCCAATTCATCTGGCAACAAACTTCTCCATGGAAAGCATACAGGCCAGGAGTTACAAAACAATCAGAAAACAGGCAACAGTAGTAAGTCCTTATATATCAATAATGATAATGAATGTTAATGGACAAAATTCTTCAATTAAAAGTCAAAGAGTGGCTGAATGCACAAAGAAGCCCCAACTATATGCTTTTTACAAGAAAACCATTTTACCTACAAAGACACACATAGATTGAAAGTAAAAGAGTGGAAAAAGATATTTCATGCAACTAGAAACAACAAAAAAATGGAGTAGCTATACTTATATCAGACAAAATAGACTACAAATCAAAGACTGTAAAAGGAGACAAAGAAGGTCACTAACGATTAAGGGGTCAATTCAGCAAGAGGATATAACAATTATAAATATCTATGCATCAAACACCAAAGCTCCCAAGCACATAAAGCAAAAATTAATAGATTTGAAGGGAGAAATAGACTCCAATACAACAATAATACGGGGACTTTAACACTCCACTCTCAGTGATGGACAGATTACCTAGACAGAAAATCAATAAAGAAACACCAGAGTTAAACTATATACTAGACCTAATAGGTCTAACTGACATTTACAGAACATTTCACCCAACTGTTGCAGGATGTACCTTCTTTTCATGGAACATTATCTAGAATAGACTATATCTTATGGCACAAAACAACTTTGAACAAATTTTAAGAAGTAGAAATCATATCAAGTATCTTTTCTGACCACAATGGAATAAAACTAGACATCAATAACAAGAGGAACTTCAGAAACTTCACAAACTCATGGAAACTAAACAACATGCCCCTGATCGACCCATGGGAGAATAAAGACTTTAAGAAGGAAATTTAAAATGTCTTGAAACAAATGGAAATGGAAATACAACATACCAAAATCTATGGGATACAGCAGAAGTAGTACTAAGAGGGAAGTTTATAGCAATAAACAACTGTATCAAAAAGGTGGAAAGACTTCAAATAAACAACCCAATTATGAACCTCAAGGAACTAGAAAAGCAAGAACAAGCCAAACCCAAAATTGGTAGAAGAAATACTAAAGGTTAGAGCAGAAATAAATGAAATTGAGACTAGAAAACAATACAGACCAACAAAATGAAAAGTTGGATTTTTGGGGAAAGATAAATAAAATTGACAAAACTTTGGCTAGACTAGAGAAAAGACACTCTCCTATTGTCATTGTTTTCAAAAAATAAATGTATATGCATCACAAAACATATCAAATGTATCCTTCAGGGCCCCAAAATGCCTACTGACATATAGCATGTCCTGCTTCATGCCAGGGCCTGCTAATTAAGGAACTCCTCATAGCTGATCCCTTTAATCTGTTATCAGAGCACTGAGTCTGATGTCAGAGATCTTTGCATTCATTTGACTTGCATTCTATTTTTCAGACTAGCCAGGGCAAGAGAAGTTGATTCCAGTCATTGTTAACTCTAGACAAGAACCAACAATTTCACTTCTTATGCCCACTATTAATAGTACATTGGCAAGTTAAGAGATCCGCCTGATCAATTTAATTCCTGAGCTATCGCAGTTGACATTCATGACTTTTTCCCCAAGGTAGGACTGTATTTCTGCAGACATATTCTCCATTTGCTCAAATGAACCCATTCCTTTAATAAGAGTTCAACTAGATCAAGATTTACAATGATAGCCCTGAAAAAACTTATCACAATTTATTTCTGTAATTACATAACATGATCTTGATTTGTTTTACACATAGACTTTTACTCCTGGGAACTTTAACTCACATGGATGTTATTTTCAGCTCCCAAATACATTAATGCTGGGTTTGTGATAGGAAGTGTAATCAGAAGGCTGACCCAGCTGATGTATAATGATTAAAAATGTAAGTCTTGGTAAATCTTGTTTTTCCCTTTATTTGAAATATCTCTCTCTCTCTTCTAATCTTAAAGCCTTTACTTTGAGACATGATGGAAAAGTCTTACAGATACGTATGGAACATTGATCTCCACTGAGTGAAAACAATCTAACCAGAAAGCTTTGATGCCTGTCAATTAATGTTGAAGCTTAAATTATGGGAATAAGACATATTGCGGGGCTGGAAGGAATGGATAATTAATATTTCTCTCCTTCTTTCTTGCTGTCTCCTTTAACAGAATCTATACCGACCTCCTCAAAAACCTTCTCAAGGGCAGCTATGTCCCCATGGGCCTCAGAAAACCCTTCTTCTACCCCCTCATGAATGTACCAGTGAACAAAGGCATGGTTGGCATACACCACGTCAAAACTTGTGGTCCAGGTGAGCCCAGGCCTCAGCAATGGCTGTGGTATTGCCCAGCATGCACACAGCTCTCTGTACCTTGGCCAGGTCTTCATCAGGTACCACCATGGGAAGCTGGTAATTAATGCCAACCTTGAAACCAGTGGGACACCAATGCACAAACTGGATATTGTGCTTGGTCTTGATGGTGGTAACAGCAGCATTGACATCTTTATGGTGTCACCACAGTGCAACAGGCAGGAAGCCATCATTTGTTATGGCGAGGGTCATATTTCATCATCTGGTTGGCTGGCTCAAATCAAGCATTGATGATCTCTGCTACAGAAAGCTGTTCATGATAGGCTTTCTCAGCAGAGAAAACAGGGGCATATGTGGCCAGAAAAAAGTGGACGTGGGGATAGGCACCAAGTTGGTCTGGAATTCTGTCAGATCAGCATTCAGGGAGCCATCAACTCTGGGGGAAGCAGTGATAGAGGGCATAATCTGAAGAACAAGGCAGTTAGTGTAGGTTGAGCACTCAATATTGAGGTTTCTATGACAGATGTCTACCACAAAGGCACACTCAGAGCGCTGCAGGGTAGTGTGGGTGGTGAGGATGGAGTTATAGGGCTCAACTACAGCTGTGGAAACCTGGGACACTGAGTAAATGAACTCCAACTTGGACTTCTTGCCATAATGAACAGAGAGACATTCTATCAGCAGGGAGGTGAACCCAGAACCAGTTCCCCAACCAAAGCTATGGAAAACCAAGAAGCCCTGAAGACTTGTGCACTGGTTGGCCGGCTTGAGAATTTGATCCAACATGAAGCCAATGATCTCCTTGCCAATAATATAGTGCCCTTGGGCATAGTTATTGGCAGCATCTTCCTTGCCTGTGATGAGCTGCTCAGGGTGGAAGAGCTGGTGGTAGATGGCAATGTGAACTTTGTCAATGAATGTGGGCTCCAGGTCTATAAACACTGCCCTGGGCATATGCTTGCCAGCACCTGTCTCACTGATGTCAAAGGAGTCATCTCCCCCAGTGGTCTTGTCACTTGGCATCTGGCCATCGGGCTGGATGCCATGTTCCAGGCAGCAGAGCTCTAAGCAGGGATTATCAATCTGGCCATGAGCCTGGCCAACGTGGATGGAGATGTGCTCACGCATAGTGACTAGGGAACAAGAGGCAAAGGCAACAGGAGCAGACACCAGGTCCCGGTTACTTTTCTTGAGAAGCTAAGAGTCAAGGTAACACACTCAGAAATCACACTTTCAAAACTACTATTACTTAACATGCCTGCTTCTGCTTAAATATAAAATGACTTCAGGATAATTAGCATTTTGAGGCATACAGTATTACTAGAGTCCCTTCCTATTATGTGTTTTGCATTCCTTTTTCAAACCAAAACAAATACTAATTTGTCTTTCTCCTGTAAGAATAAATATCGCAAACATTGGGACATTCTTTTTAGAGACCTTTTATTTCCTATCCTGATTTTGGCAACCTAGTCTCTTTGGTATATTGGTCATAAGAGAAATTATTTAGTAGGCTTGTCTTACTCATGCACAGTTGGTGTTGTTCTGTTCTTTAATGAGTCTCAAGCAAAGAAGTATAAAGAGCAGCATGGTAAGGAATTTGCCTAAAAGTTGTATGATGGTTCTAGTCTCAGTTCAATTAACTGTGGTGTCCCAGGCAAATCACCCAATGCCTTGGTGTTCTCATCTATAAAGTACCAGAGCTGCTTCTGGCATTGCTGCCTGGCACAGAGTTGGCATTCAATAGTCTATTAATATACAAATACTAGTTTCATAAACATCTTCAAAGTTTTATATTGAACTCAATTCACTTCTGTGAAAAGTAGTCAACCAACGAAATGGCATGCAAATTAACGAGGCCTACTCCTATTCCACGCTGTTCTCATGGCAGTCTGAGATTAGAAGAAACCAGCACTGGAAGCAAGAAGGCAATGAAAATACAGTAACACAGTAAGCACTTTTAGTTCACTTTGTGGACAACTGAACTAGAAACCAGTTGGAAAAAACTAACCAACCAACCAACCAATCAAAAATGGCCCAAATGAATCAGTGAACTAAAGTAGAAAAGGATCACTTCCCATCCAGAATTTTTTCGAAAAATGTCAATAAATTCAGCTTCTTAAAAGAGTTTTTTATATTAAACCAGGCATCTTTCAAAGAGAAGCGGCTACCTTTCAGGTTCTTGACTTTCAAAGAGAAGCGGCTACCTTTGAGGTTCTTGAACGTAGATTGCAACACGGAGATAAGTATAATAGAGTGCACAACATTAAATCAAAGGTGGAGGGGAAGAGGATTGTGGGGCAGTCATTTCTGGACATCAAGAAAGAATTCAATCTACCTAATGCAAGGCAACTTCTGGGGTCCTTGTGTGTGGAAACATTCTTTTTTTTTTTTTTTTTTTTGAGACAGAGTCTCGCACTGTCACCCAGGCTGGAGTGCGGTGGCATGATCTCGGCTGACTGCAAGCTCCGCCTCCCAGGTTCACGCCATTCTCCTGCCTCAGACTCCCGAGTAGCTGGGACTACAGGCGCCGCCACCAAGCCCGGCTAATATTTTGTATTTTGAGTAGAGACAGGGTTTCACCGTATTAGCCAGGATGGTCTCGATCTCCTGACCTCGTGATCCGCCCGCCTCGACCTCCCAAAGTGCTGGGATTACAGGCGTGAGCCACCACACCCGGCCGAAACATTCTTATAAGAGGAAACTGTCTTCATGTTTTATATTTGCCTTAATTTTCTTTTATTATTTCCAGACCACCTCTGTTGGTTATGCTAAGTACTCCTTTTCTCTTTTTGGAATTTAAACTTTTTAAGGAAACAAAAATTAACAGAAAGCAAGACGCATTGGAAATATGAACTCTTCTTTTACTGCATAAGAAATGAGAAGAAAAACTGTGTGTGAAATTCTGGAGTCTAAAATTAAAATGTAAACAGAGAATGCTCAGTGACCTTTTCGTAGGAGGCTCACATGAAGGAATGTCATGGTACATTGACCAAACTTTTATTCATTTGCATTTTCAGGATGTTGCTATTAATACCACATGACACTCAATAAATTACACTACGACATTTTGTACAAATCACTTCACTTCTGGTTTCCTCTTCGGCTGTGTTACTTCACCCTCTGGTTACCTGTAGGAAAAAAAAAATGTATTTTGGGGCTTTATTTTTAAAGGGAGATTCACAGTTTTAGTCAATGTAAAGATATTGGTTCCCAAACTGTGTTCTAAGGAAATAGCTATCTAAGGTATCTTTTTTTTTTTTTTTTTGACGGAGTTTTTGCTCATCGCCCAGGTGGGAGAGCAGTGACGCCCATCTCGGCTCACTGCAACCTCCGCCTCCTGGGTTCAAGTGATTCTCCTGCCTCAGCCTCCAGAATAACTGGGACTACAGGCACCTGCCAGCACGCCCAGCTAATTTCTGTATTTTTAGTAGACACAGGGTTTTACCATGTTGGCCAGGATGGTCTCGATCTCCTGACCTCAGGTGATCCGCCCAGCTCGGCCTCCCAAATTGCTGGGATTACAGGCAGCAGCCACCGTGCCCGGCAATATTGGTTCCTAAATTGTGTTCTAAGGAAACAGCTAACCAAGGTATCTCATTTAAAAAAAAAAAAAAAAGTTTTATGCTCTATTAAGTTTGGGAAATACTAGGTTAAAGAAAGCTAAACATGATTATTTCCAGTGGGACATCTGAGAGCCTTTAATTAGCTAACAGTGCATTGCAATTCTGCAAAGGAGGAACATTGTTTCCCAAACCTATCTGGCCATAGAACATATTTCTCAGAGTATTTTTCAAGAGTAGTATTTTCTGTAATATATGTTGAAAAATAATGGTATCAGCCATCTTTGTACATAAGCTCAAAAGGTCAGCCAGCCCTGAAATAAATGTAAGCCAAAAGGTAGAGAGATAAGTGAATAAAGCTGGCACACTGTCAGTCAGGAGTACCATGCTGCATTCTGAGTCAAGCTCCAGGTTTGTCTCTAAGAAGAAAAACAGGCGCGTCCAAAGCTTCTGGATTCCATTGAATTAAAACCCTTTTAAATTAAATCCTTGTAACTGAAGAGTATCGGTGGATGAAGAAAAAATAGTCTCACATGTCTTCATTTCCACCCTTGGCTCAGTACTGCTCCAGTTCCATTATTCTTAAACATCTATTAACATGATTGCTAAATAATTACACAGGCTAACTGCCAAGCATTTTTCACAGGAAGCAAGGCACTGCTCTTCTGGCTTATGCAAAAGGGTCACTTTGTTTTTTTTTTTTAAACCTTTGTCTTGTTTTGATTGAAGAAACATCTCTAAAAATACCATCTGAGTGCAAGATAAAAAGGAAATAGCAATTCAAGGCACAAAGCTAAGTACATGCAACAATAAAGATGATTTGGGGGTGGGACAGTACAGAATTCAGGACTGATAGAAGTTATCAGCTCCGTATTTCAGAAAGACCTAGTGTCTTCCTCTGCTTATGCTGTTCTGCCAGAACTTTAATTTTGGCAGAGATCACCTCGATGTTATAATGTACTGATTCAGAGGTCCCAAATCAGTAGACCCGATCCTAGACAGATCCTCAAAGGTCAGCTGCCACTAGGTGTCCCCTTCTTGATCATCCTTCATGCTCCCTGGATTGGGGCATGGCTAAGCACTCAAGTCAAAGGATTAGTTGGCAATATCCTACACTGTCAACAAAGTTTTGAAGAAAAACAGAGAAACTGGTATTTACTAAGCACCTAAGTGACAGATTATTTTCATAAACATTAGCCTATAAAACAAACAACTCTCCTGCCCCAAATCCAAACAGATCTTTTCCCTATTATTTACAAATAAAGAAAACCAGCTTAGAGAGGTTATAAAATTTGCCTAAGGTCAAACCAAATGCGAATAAGCAAATTAGGTAAAATTCCGAGCCAGGTCTGGATGAGTCCAAAGTGTGTTTTACAGTATCATGCTGTCTCCTGATCATTACAAAATTTCATTTGTTTACAGAAGCACGAATGGCCCATTTATGCCTTTTCTCTCAGCATCTAGCAAAACATCTCAACTTTTATTACACCAACTTCAGGAGTCTTGATAATGTTTAGATCTTCTCATTCATTTGCCTAAATCAATAGAGCTATTTATTCTCAACTGTTGGCAATGAACTTTCTTAACTCAGCATTTTGAGGAAAAAAAAAGAAATTCTAAATACTTGAATTGCTTCATTTCATGCTCATTGTTTTTGGCATGCCTCCTTTTGGTTTTCTTTAAAAAGAGATTCTAAAATCATGGCATATTTAGATATGAAAAACAGGATGGAGAGCAATGGGAACACTAATCTGAAATAAGTCACATGGCCAGAGTACCTGTGTCTGTAGTAATCTCAAATTATACACTCTCGAATTAATTAAGCAATCCCTCATGTATGCTTGATTGAAAAAATAAAGCACTGCTGTAGAACTGTAGACTTGGATTCTACCCTACTCTTCCACAGTTGCCACCCTGGTTAAGTCTCTCTGATTGTTTCCTCATTACTTAAAATAAGTAGAGCTCTTAAATTCCTTCAAAAATTCCCAAGATTCTATAGTCAACTGCCACTCACTTGCCTTTCCAATGAAAAAACAGTTTAAAAGAATTCAAATCCCACCGCCTTTACCCCGTTTTAAATTCTTTTGACAAGGACAAAGGACTTACCCATCCATCTTCCACCTAAATTTGCTTTTTAGTGACAGAAAAACCAAGCAGCAAAGAAAAAAGTATGGTCACTCATCTAGGCAAGAGTGATGTACATTGCTTGGAAAATAGCTGAGAGAGCAGCTTAACAGTCCACTTATTTTGGTTGCAGGTATCATACCTCATATCCCCTAAGGGAGAGAGAAAAATCAATCTTTTCCAGGAAAGATGGTAATACAGTAAAGCTTCTTTCCCTTGCTTGGCCTGACACCATATAGTTACAAATGAAAATAATTCTGAGTGCATACAGATGCCCACAGCACCTGCTTTCAAAATCTTTTAAAAGTGCAATTACATAACAGGCTATCTGGCTTGATCCTTACTCTGATAACAAATAGACCTGGGTTTCCTAGTATCGCGTCCTTGGTATTTCACTCCTCTCATCGCCTCATCACTCTCATCTCCCCTCCTCACCTGACACTGACACAAGTATCCTGATGCAGTAGGACACATCATAAAATGAGAGTCCGGACCATATTCAACACAGCCTGGTAGAGCTGA